TATTTGCCATAAGCAGTGTTGAATTCACGTACATTGGGCCACTCCAAAAACAGTTATTTGCTTGTGGTACAATATGGAAAGAATGTGGTATTTGCCATAAGCAGTGTTTGAATTCACGTACATTGGGCCACCTTCAAAAACAGTTATTTGCTTGTGGTACAATTTAATATGGAAAGAATGTGGTATTTGCCATATGCAGTGTTTGTATTCACATACATTGGGCCACCTTCAAAAGCAGTTATTTGCTTGTGGTACAATTTAATATGGAAAGAATGTTCTATTTGCCATATGCAGTGTTTGAATTCACATACGTTGGGCCACCTCCAAAAACATTTATTTGCTTGTGGTCCAATATGGAAAGAATGTGGTATTTGCCATATGGAATGGGTTAATTCACATCCACTGCATCCTCTGTCAGTCTCCATTCATGACTGTAGGACATACAAATTCACTGAATCATGTGGCCTTAACTAATCCATTACTTAATAAAGTAATTGGTAAAAAATATTACCATTGACATTCAATATTTATTTATTAACATAAAACTCAGGTTAGTTCAGCAGTATGATTGCCACCACACCATGTTTAAGAAGAGTACAAAAATAAAAGCAATTACAAAATCAAAAATAACTAGATTAGTAATATCATGTTCACGTGAAATAATTGCAAGCTAATGACAATGCAAAACAGCTGATTTCCTCCCTAATACAATCATGCGGAAACAGACTGAGTTCCTCGCTGTTCTCTTAAGGGAGGAAATACAACACCACAGATTAGAAATGCATATTTCTATGGCTCTCATGCAAAACAAATTGAGGAGCATGACAATAAACAGATACATATAGAGTAAAGTATACAGCACAGTGCATGCTTCAGTACACGCTTCAGACAAATTTCTAAAAGTGCACTTCTGGAAGCCAAGTAATGTTGTTGAGTGATTGAATTACTGGTATTTAACTGGGATTATTATGTGCTTGTACATGCTGCAAATTGCATGTGGCCAATAAATAAAATCTGTGTATACAGGTCAGTCACTCAGCTAATGATCACCTGCAATAACCTCAGTATGACCCCCCATTAGTCTGTGTTTACCTACGCCATAGTTATTGTGTGTAAACCAGGTACATTTTGGGGGATGGATTTCCACATGCTGTATTGGGGGTATTTTATTTTATGTATAAATCCTCTCCTTCTTTCATCTGTCCCTGTCACATCAACCAGTTAAACCACATACATGTAATGAGTTTATCATTGTGCTATTTAGGAAATTTTATATTTTATGCATTATGTCAATTTTGAATCTATTGTTCGATGGTTCCTAGTTTCCTAAAATTTATCATATTGTTGGCAAATTTAGTTATACTGATATATATTCTTGAATATTTGTCAAATCGTCAAACAATATTCTCTCTCACATTTGCCTTTTTAATGATATTATACGATTCCTATCATATAATAATAAATAATTTCAACACATAGAAATTAAAATTTATTCAGTAATCTCAAAGTCAATTAGTTCCCCCTCTTCTTCCTTTTTCTTTCTTTTCTTTTTGTCTTGTTTCTCTTTTTTTGATTTTTTGTCTCTTTTTGGTTTTTTGCCTCTCTCAGGTTTTGTGGAATCGAGGCATTTCTTGAAATTTTTGTTTATATTCCAGTCACAGCTTCCATCTTCTTTCATTTCACATGCTGAATATTCGGCATAACACACTGCATCATTGCTCTCAAGCTTAAAAGTACATCCATCTATGATGGGTTTTGGATCTTCCACCACTTCAGAAAATTCAGAGGTATTGTCGTGACATTGAGAACTGAATTCATCTTCTCTGAAACCAAAGCCAATATCATCTATGTTGTAACATATGGTAATCTGTGAATATAATCAACATACAAGTTCCTATAAATCACACCTCAGATCAATAACAAAGATGTGTAGAAACAGTCACAGGTTCACTGCATTTGCTTGTGCAATATAAAATGATGTGAAAAACTGAATTGTTTTCACCCAGCAGCACTTCATTTCTTGTGCACTTTAAATAAGTTATGTATGACTATGTTTCTGTGACCTCAATCTCTCCTTCACCAGTAAATCTTCTAATAGACTGAGTCCCTCTTTCAGTAATTCACCCAATGAATTAGAGAGTTTCACTTCCTCATTAGTAAATCACCTAATGAATAAGGCAGTTCTCATCATTAAATCACCTGATGAGTTATAACAAGTCTATCCCTCATCAGTAAATCAACCAATGAGTTAAAAATTAGTCTCTTCCACATCAGTAAATCAACCAATGAGTTAAGAATTAGTCTCTTCCTCATCAGTAAATCAACCAATGAGTTAAGAATTAGTCTCTTCCTCATCAGTAAATCAACCAATGAGTTAAGAATTAGTCTACCCCTCATCAGTAAATCAACCAATGAGTTAAGAATTAGTCTCTTCCTCATCAGTAAATCAACCAATGAGTTAAGAATTAGTCTCTTCCTCATCAGTAAATCAACCAATGAGTTAAGAATTAGTCTACCCCTCATCAGTAAATCAACCAATGAGTTAAGAATTAGTCTCTTCCTCATCAGTAAATTAACCAATGAGTTAGGGAGTTTCTCTTTCTCATCAGTAAATCAACCAATGAGTTAGGGAGTTTCTCTTCCTCATCAGTAAATCAACCAATGAGTTAGGAGTTTCTCTTCCTCATCAGTAAATCAACCAATGAGTTAGGGAGTTTCTCTTCCCCCATCAGTAAATCAACCAATGAGTTAGGGAGTTGCCCTTCCTTGTCAGTAAATTAACCAATGACTTGGGGAGTCTCTCCTCCTCATCAGTAAAACACCTAAGGAGTTAAGGATGAGTATCGCTTTTGTAAATACATTACCCATTTGTTTTCTGTCTCCCATTACAAGAAAAACAGAACTACCCTAATTTAAACATATGATTCTTCTATGTTAAAAGGTTGATGAAAAAAAGTTTTGTGTTTCTAGTTATGGGCTATAACAAAGCAATAATTGCAGTTAGTTATTAGGATTTTCTTTTTTTGCTACATCCAAGGAGTTAAATGTAAGTCATTTCTGCGGGTAGAACTAATTTACATAAAATAATAAAATAATAAAAAATATATATGGGTGATAGTGTTATTGAAATTTTTTTTTTATGAAGCTGACTGTTAACAATGCCATTGTAAATGGTAAATCAATATTATTCATTGTATTTCATCCTGCATAATGTTAATACATTGATTTTTACTCACCGAACATCCACAATTGTTTTTATATAGGCTACGCAGTAAGTTTTTGTTTCTTTTCTTCACTGTCTTCCATTGTTCATTCCAGTCACATACACTGGTGCTCAGTTGATTCTCATGCTCTCCATATCGTCTCATACCTATAAATTATAATTGTTTGAGAATTCATTGGCTGACCTGGTCCAGTGGTGAAACCAAAATTGGTCTCACCTGTTTTTGTTTTGATTGAAAGAAAAGTTTTAGATTTGTGTATTTTCTATAGTAGGTCTGTTACTCCTAAAACAAGAGCTATTGTTAGATGCAGATTTAAAGTAGCTATTGGTCATTAAAAAATGAGTATTTTAATTACATGATGTTCATTAAATTTTGTGATTTTGTTATCACACATGTGCTTGTAATAAATAAATATTATTATTATACATCTGTCACCATAACGCCATAAGTTACAGTGTGCCATAATTTTGCAGTATTTTACAGTGTATT